CCCCACTCCCCCCAACCCCCTCTAAAAACATTGAAGCAACTTGCAACGCTTTCCCCTCAGAACACGAAATTTGCGGCAAACGAAGGTGATGGAACCTGGGTATAGAATGGATTTGTTTATGCATGGATTTTCCAGGGTTCACTGTTTTAGGTTGAGGGTTTCGGGTTTTTGGGGTTTGTTATTAGCGCTGAGTGTCTAGAGATTGTAGCCTTGAGGGTTTATGCCTCACTTTTAGGGATGCCGGGCTCCGGTTCTAGAAGCTGTGCTGTGGGTTTAGGGTTTAGGGTTTAGGGTTTAGGCTTGCAGGCTCGGGAAAGATTATTGACCTTAGGTCAATCCACCTCTAGGAATAGCTTCTTAATATGGAGTTAACAGGGCCTCGATGTGCCCATAATAATCCTTTGTGGTACCCATTACCAAGTGGGGGAATCGACCCAGTATTGTACCCTAAACCCTAAACCCTAAACCGTTTGTTCTTCTTGACGAAGTGACCTATGTCCCTCCTTGAGTGCTTGAGGATGGTAACTTTTGGAGGGGCAATATAAGCCTATGTAACCCTATATAATCTACATAACCCTATAGAACCCAACATAACCCTATATACCCCAAATTTAACCCTATGTAACCCTATATAAGCTATAGTCTAAACTCCCCTAAAGGGGGTTATATAAGGGATTATATAGGGGACTACTATACGGGTTATTAAGGAGGATGCTAGGAGTTTAGACTATAGCTCATATAACCTATATAACCCTATAGAACCCAACATAACACTATATACCCCAAACTTAACCCCTATGTAACCCTACATAATATAAGCCGAAGGGGTTCGGGCTTTGGAGTTGGATCAGATTGGAAAGGTTGAGAGACGTATGGTGGGCTTATGGCTTATAAACGCGGTTTAGGGTTTAGGGTTTAGGGTTCAGGATTTAGGATTTAGGGTTCAGGGTTCAGGGATTAGGGTTTAGGGTTCAGGGTTTAGGGTTCAGGGGTTTTGCAGGATGTCGGGGCCATAGTCTAAACTCCTTAGAGGGGATTTGACAGGGAATTATACAGGGGAGCGTTTTGGGGGATTAATTAGGATGATACTCGGAGTTTAGACTATGGCTCATATCAAGAACGGCGCAGAGCGAAGAATTGTTCACCCCTGTTACATGGGTCAGGGCCATATCAAAAATGGGGCATAACGCGGAATCATTCACTCACACTTCAAGGGTCGGGGCCACAGTTAGTGTCCCAAATCCTGCGAATGTAAAACTCCCCCTGCTCTTAAGCCCAAAACAGGATTTAGATATTTCCAGAACCGCTAAGGATCATTTGCCAGAGCCCATGCGCTGCAGTGTCCGCAGTGTGTTTCACCCTGAAACTCCAGCAGAGAAAGGTGGAAGTTCTTCAAGAATATGGTAGTTTCCTCTTATAGGGGACCCCAATATAGACCCCAAAATGCTATAGTCCTAATTATGGGGATCCCCAAAAAGGTACCCCTATTTTTGCATGGGAAACTACCACATCTTACTGGTGGATAGTAGGCAATGGAGGAATGGATGGGTTTAGGATTTTTCTATGTAGCCTCTTCCATTCGCCCCTAAACCTAACTTCCCTACCCTAAACCTAAACCCTAAGCACCTAAACCCTAAACTCCAGGTGTAGGGTCGTAGGGTTGACGGTTAAGGCTCCAAACCTGGTAGTGGGTAAAGTACCCTGTAAAACGACTAGCCACCAATAAGATATGAGCTACGGACTAAATTTAGGTTGGGGGGACCTATACGGGACTATATAGGGTTTTGGGGGGACCTATTAAGGGATATACTACAAATTTAGTCCAGGGCTCATATGATTTGGGTTTACTGGTGTAGGGTTGAACAATTTCAAGGTTTCCCGGATGTTGGGTGTTTTCTGGGATGTTATCAAGTTACACTTCTCGTTTGGAATTGGAAGGTGCCATCCAAACACGGAAGCTTATATAGCCCCCCTGTAAGTCTTTGCCATTTTGGTTTCCGTTGTAGTTCGGGGAGGGTGTTAATGGGATCCAACAAAATTATTTTCTCTGAATGGGGTACTCCCTTTACTAGTCGGGCCCGGATTCTATAACCAGGTCATGCTGGATAGTTTTGCAAATTTCGACATACGATGCGCGCAGTGTGCCCTGGCGAGCGACCGTCCCGTCCTACAGGCCCAGATAGCCCGGCTGTTCGATGAATCTGGGCTAAGGTTTGGGGTAAAGGTTTTTTTTTTAGGTTAAGAGCTAACTTGGTCCTTGCAAAGTTGGTTCGGTACTCGTGTGACATGCTTTTCTGGTTGAAATGTTCAGCCCTAAACCTACACCATAAACGCTAAATCCAAAGAGGTGCTGCGTTGCAAGGTCCCGGTTTAAGCTTAGTTGAGGGCTTTCAGGGTTTGCTTATGACTGGGTTGAATTAGACATGTCTGAGCTTGAACGTCTGCAAGCACGCAAAACAGAACTAAACCCCCTAAACCCTAAACCGAGATCTTTCTGGACGTCAGTTCAGGAAATCGATGACAAGCCTATCAGTGTCGCTGTAGATGGCCCGGAAGCATTGCTGCAACTCGGTGAAGTTGGAAATTTTGGGCATGTACTCAATTAATGGGTACTTGGGGTTTTTAATTTTGGAAGTTGTCGTGCAGGCTTTAGGCACGTAGTCCCCTCCACCTAATAATAACGCCCCCCATTCCCCTAGTATTCAATATTCTCCTAATATATAATGGTATAATGGTACGATATCAGGGGGGGGAGGGGAGTACATGAGCTCTAGTCTAAACTCTTATATAATCCGTGTATAACCCCCTTTAACGAGTTTAGGCTATAGCTCATATGCGTAGTGTTTTATTTGGGGATACTATGGTACCCATGATAGAGTAAGATTCTATCCTCCTTTTGGGGTATAGTATTTTTTAAATAAGGAAAATAATCTTACTGGGTTTAACCACCAAAGAAAACACTGCTAAACACTGCTCATATGATTATTGGGGCATTGGGGCCCTCATGGCCTACACCCTAAACCCTAAACCCTAACCCCTAAACCCCTAAACCCCTAAACCCCTAACCCACGAACCCTAAACCCTATTGGGGTATTGGGCCCTTTATGGCCTACCATGTCTGCTTGGAGTTCTGGGGATGTCAATGCTCCCTTCGTGGCCTCATTCCTCCGGGTTGCTGTTAAGGAACTTAGCTTAACTTACTACATTGGCAAAACCCTATTATTTACTAAATGATGTACATATATAGGGTTTAGGGTTTAGGGTCTTAAGTTCAGTCACCATAATGGGTATATATATATATATAGTAAGTAAAAGGGTTTCCCCGATATAGTAAGTTAAATTAAGTTACCATAATATGTATATATATATACTATCTTAAATGATAGGGTTTTCCCCATGTAGTAAGTTAAACTAAGCTCCTTAACAGCAACCCAGTCATTCGGAGAATCCCGATTTGTGCCCTAACAGTTTCTGACGAGGATACCCGCTGCAGCAGAAGAACCGGAGGAATTGCTTGAGCTGGTCCGAAATTCTTCCATTCGCGAAATTACCAGCTATCCAAGTCATGATGATTGCCTAGACATTTTCAACCGATATGTCAGGGCCGAGCTCTACAACCAGATTATATCCGATTTGGGAAGCGCAACATATTTACACTGGTGGCTGGCCTTTCTGGCGTTCTTGCCCCAACAGTTTTTCACAGTGGGATTCGAGTTCTTGCAATGTGAACAAATGGGCTGCCAAGCACTGCCTGAAGTGTGCACTTCCTGAGTTGGTACATTGTTCATTCTTTGGGTTTGTGGATGCCACATAGTGGGTTGACAGCATGAGCCTTTTTTTGGAGGAGTTAGTCAGCAGGTACGGTGTGGACACGCTTGCGCATTACCGGATCTATGTCGTCAGCACCTTTGTGATTTGGGGCGCTATTCAGACGTTGATTTACCCAGCAACTATGCATCTGCGGCGAAATGTTTCAAAGCTTTTTTCATCCCTTGGTCGGAGAGAGCGGAGCTAGCTCATCAAGTAGAACCTTTAGAGGGTCAGAAGCAAAACCTAGCCCTAAATCCTAAACCCCTAAACCCTCAACCCTAAGCGCCTAAACCCTCAACCCTAAGCCCCTAAACCCTAGGTCTGTCGTCAATGCTATAGACAGCTGTGTGTCCTGCGCACCATGCAAGTGGACAGTCATCCTGTTGGCTGGGCCACTGGTGTCAAGTTGTGGGCAAGTGGCAAGCGGCGTTGTTGGAAACCTGGTTTTGCTCCTTATGAACCAAGGTTGTTCACCACTTGTACTTATACTCCTGGTTGCCTCTGCAACATGCATCATCACGCTGTGGAGCGTGGTGTTTTTTGAGCTGCGATGGTGTCCCGGTTGGTCAGCACGCTCCTGCACGCAATGTTCTAGTTGAGGCGGGCTCTGAATTCCACGTGAGGTGCATACTGCACTCTCATTTTTCCACGTGAACCATAGTCTAAACTCCTTAAAGGGAGATTATATAGGGGAACATATAGGGAACTACTATAGGGGATAATAAGGGGGATACTAGGAGTTTAGACTATGGCTCACGTCGGGGCATCAACCCAACGGTAATCTTGAGCCTCAAGGGCTTTGTACCATGGGCGATTTGCCTGCCGGCGGCTTGCAGGAAAGGAGATGCTGCTGCGGTCTGTTAGGATCTGCAATCTATACCCTGCTAAAGTTCTTTTCCCAATCCTGTATGATGTGACCAGTTTCGAGATCACTCTTGATTATCAGTTCTATAAGGGGAGTTCCCAAAATGAGGGGAACTCTTTTGAGGGTCCCTACAATAAGGATTATAGTATTGGGGGGTCTATATTGGGGTCCCCCTATTCTGGGAACTACCATAAAACCGAACGTACCTACGTGGCAGTTTCTCGATGTGTGGCTCCAACGTCACACCCCGAAAACCATCACTGTTACAGTGTAGGGTTTAGGGTCTAGGGAGAACCTAAGGGGTCTCACAAACTAGGAGAATCCTCCTTGCAGGAGGGATCCATGAAGGTTTAGGCTTTAGGGCTTGGGGTTGCGGGTTTAGGCGCATTTAGGCATCCTACATCTTATATATCTATTTGAAAAGGCTGTTAGAACCGTGTTGTGGCTCTTTATAAGTAGGCCCCCGGAAGCCTAAAACCTCAACCCGAAGCCCTAACCGAACCCATTCGTCAAGGCATGCCCTAAACCATTCAAGGTATCTCCTGTTCTTGGGGCTTTCCCAAAAGTAGGGGGTACATTTTTAGGGGTCCCAAGAAACAGCCACTTCTAGGATTTAGTGTTTAGGGTTTAGGGGCTAGGATTTAAATTCATGGGCTTAGAGTTTGGGATTTTAGGGTGCAACCCAGAGAGGATCCATAGACCCACCCCGGAGCTTATATATATATATATATGAGCTACAGTTGTCAATATGAGCTTTATTGAAGGACCCAGAGTTCTAGGGCTTAGGGATTTAGGGTTTAGGGTTTAGGGATTTGGTGTTCAGGGATTCAGGGTCTAGATTGCATGGTCTCCTTTTGGGGGGTAGATTCTTGGGTTCTCTGACACTTTAAACCCTAAACCCCTAAGAGAGAAGAGCCCTAATTCCTAAACCCTAAACCCCCTCAAAATATTTGGGGTTTAGGGTTCAAATAGACAAACAAGAGTCATTCCTGAGAAGTACCCAAGGAATCCCTGGAAGCAATCTCAACAATCAACTCCCGGGTTGAGGGGAAAAGGGAGTAGGGTTTAGGGTATATGGTTTAGGGGTTTAGGGGTTTGGGGTTTAGGGTTTAAGGTTTAGGGGGTATGTAGGGGATCTAGAGCGGTTATAAAGGGATACTGGAAAAGAAAATGGAGGATACCGTTCTATACCACTTTCTCCATAATCCACTCCCATATTTTCTGCTAAGTGTCATGGAGGACTTGTTCGCAGTAGATTCACGAATGCTCATGTTACTATGTGTAACTCCAGTTACCTACAGTTGTATGGGTTATACCTACTACTTAGGGGGTACTCACTATTAAACTGTAGGTAATTGGGGTCACAGGCACGGCTCCCGACGTAGTGCATAAACTCCTGTTCCTACAGAATAGTAGCTTCCATTTTCTTTTCCGTTATTTCTACAAAACCCCTATATGACCCCTAAATACCCCCTAAACCCTAAACCCTAAATATATGACCCCTGTATATCCCCCATATTTCGAGGCTACTCTCCGTAAAGCTGCAGTGCATAAACTCCTCACGCAAGCTGCGTCCTGTGCAACGTAAACTGTGTTAGGGTTTAGGGTTTGGGGTTGCTCTAGACTGGAAACACCAGTGAAGAACCCTCGACATTCTGAACATCCTCGGCCCCGTGCCGGGGCCACTACAAGGATGTAGGCTGATAGATGACACGTTGCTATGTCTCTACATCTTTGAGTAGGGATGCTGATGTTCCAGCTTTTGGGGCTTCTAACCTAGGAGTAAATGAGGGTTTCCCAAAATGTGGAAAGCTTTCTTGGGGGGTCCCCAAAATCATGAGGACCATAGTATTTGAGACTCCCAAACGGCCTTTTCAATCCAATGGTCTCTGCGAGCCCTGACCTCTGCCAGCCACTCACGTGCTCATCATCTTCAACGATAGGCTCGCTTCATAAGTCATGAATCTCTGTAAATCAGAAAACTATCACGATGCCCATAGTATGTGTACTTTAGGATGACCCCCCCCCCATCCTTTACAAATGGTATAATAGGAATGTAAGAGAGCCTTGATACAGTCCTTATTCTTCCTTTTCGTCACTATTACTGGGTGGGGGGTCCACCCAATGTGTACTACACACATCCCTTAGGCCTGAAAGGGCTGCAGCTCAACTTTTTCCTGGCGAACTTCTCCGTGACCTTGCCCGGGCCCCTCAGGTTCTGCCAGACGTACTGCAGTGGGAAGTCTCAGGGGCTAGAAGTGTTGATAGAAGTCCGAAGTGCGTTTAAAGCTTGCTGCTTTTTACTAGCATGCCATAAGTACCCATCAGTTTCTGAGCTTGCTTGTTTCCCGATTTTTCTGGTCTTATGCAAACGTTGCGACTATGTTCTGCATGCACTTGGGCAGAGGCCTTGCATGAACTTCATGCAGCCGGTTTAGGAATCAGGGGTCGGAGGGCTGAGCTTATAGGGTTCTGGGCAGTGTGCGGGTCACATGTTTGAACACAGAAGTGTAAGATGGAGGAGCTTGGAAGTAAAAGGTTCCGTTTCAGGGTTGAAGGTTTCGAAGGCGCAGGGCTCAGGAAGGCCCCAGATACAAATCCTGTGTTGCTGTTAGGGGCGCTTTATACTTTTGGGGGTATGAGACTCCTTTTTTTTCTCCTGTAAAAGGGATCCTTTTTCTTCCTATACCCTAAACCCCTAAAGCCTGAAAACCCTAAAACCCTAAACCCTAAAACCCTAAACCGGTGGCTGCGCCAACGCGCGAAGCACATCT